CTACAAAAAGAAAAATAAAAAATATATATTTAATTGAGATAAATAACCATTTCAATATATATCATATTTAAATTTTATTTATTTTATTCAATAAACATTTCCTTCAAATCTTTACTTGAACCAATTAATGCATTCTTCCTTTGTAATTTTTTGATTGTTTCCTTTTAAAATATAAACAATTTAAATTATTTAATTTACAATAAAAAATAAATACCAAGTCTTGTACATCTTCTTCTTCTTCTAGCAACTCTGTTTCCTGGTCTTTCGAGTACAATATAGAAATCCATACCGAAAATACCACTAGGGAAAACAAAAAAAAATACATTTAATTAAAACAAAATAAATAAGTTTACGTGTAAGGATCATATTTCATTCCCAAATCAATATGTTCTTAAATACCAAAACCGAAATTACCTAATTAGCAAATTATATTTATATATATATATTGAAAATATTACCAGTTTTTGAAAAGTTTTTTTTTCTTAATTCCATTTCTTTAACTCTTAATCCTCTTTCGAGAATGTCTTAAGCTTTATCACCTCTAATGGTAACATGGGTTGCCATTTTTTCGTTTCTTTTGATACCAAATGATCTAATGGTATATCTGGCTCTAGAGAAGCATGGTTCTTATCCAGATAAATCCTTTAATACTTTTGCAGCTTTTGTAAGTTTATCACCAGATTCACCAACACAGCAATTAATAACTAATTTTGCAATTCTAATTTCTCTCATTTTATTTTCTTATTGATTAGACATTTTTCTTCGTCCTTTTTTTTTATTTTTATTTTTTTCTTATTTAATATTTATTTTTAGTTTTATTTTTTTTTTATTTATTTTATATCTTTTATTATTTTTATTAATAAACATATTAAAGAGAAATATATATATATATATATATTAATATATATATATATATATATATATTTTTATATATTAATATATATATATATATATGAATATATATATATATACTCATTTATTTTTGCGAATATTCTAAATATTAATATATTATATTGGAAATTTGCCTTTTATTTTATTTAATAATATAAAAATCGCCTTTTTTATAAAAACAATATAATTCTTTTTTAAATATAAAAATTATTAAAATAAAACAGAAAAATTGGAACATGTACTTAAAATTGTTAAAATCTAAAAGAAATAGATTAAGAATATAAATAAATAGAAATCTATTCCAAATATAAAAAATCGACCTAAAAGCAAGAAAACCCAATAATTAAAAAAAACCATATATAAAAAATGAATTAAAATTATATAAACTCATTAAAATTAGATACTTTGTAGAAAAAAAAACGAGTTTAAATCAAAATAAACAAAAGATAGCAGCAATAAATCCAATAAAGTTTAAATAAAAGTATAAAATATGGGCCTATTACATTAGATATAAATGTAGTTTATGAAGGCAAATGGTTAGATGAAATGAAGGACGGTTTCGAATCAATTACATGGTTTGATGATTTAAAATATATAGGCTAATGGAAATTAGATAAAATGTCTGGAAAAGGAAGAATTATTCACACCAATGGAAACTATTATGAAGGCGAATGACATAACAATAAAGAAAATGGAAACGGAACTTATTAAAATATAAACGGAAATAAATATGAATGTAATTGGAAAAATGATTAAAAAGTTACACAAAATATAAAAAAATATATATATGTATTAATTAATAAATTTAAATATATTAATATTTAAATATAATATAAAAAAATTCAAAAAAATATATATATTTTTATATATATTAAAAATGTAAATAATAAATATAACTTTTATTATATATATATTTTAAAAAATATATATATATATATATATATATATATATATATATATATATATATATATATATATTAAAAAAAGTATTGAATTGGTACTGAAGAATGGATTTAAGTGTGTAAATATATAGGATAGTATTAGAATAATCTTAAGCATGGATATGGTAAATTATAATTTTAAGACGTATCCTTTTTTGAGTGGAATTTTAGTAATAATATTATTGAAGGGTAATGTATTTATCACTGGCCAGATTGTAAAATATAAAATGGAGAATTTAAAGATAGCATAATTAATCGAAACGGTATAATTTAGTGGCCGGATGGTAAATAATACATTGGGGAATATAAAACGATAAAAAGCATGGATATGGGGCATTTAAATATCCCAATGTGATTAAATATTGTTGAAATTTGCTAGATGGGAAATAACATGGTTTCGGTACATTTTATAATAACTAAAATGCTAAGTCCTACGGTGAATGGAAAAACGGAATCCATATAAAGTGGTTAGATAAATAATAAACTAAAATTTTAATAGATAAAGGAGTATTAAAAGATTGAAAAATAAAAACTATATTTTCCTTTGAAAAAAAAAAAAAAAAAAAAAAAAATTATTTATTCTTTGTAAATATATATATATATATATTAATTATAAAATATCTTAAACCACAAAAATATTATATATTAGACATATTTGGTTATAAATAATTAATTAAAATATAACTTTTTGTCTTTAATGTACCTCGAAAATAGCCCTAAATATAATAAAGTTTAATAAAAACACTAAATAAGAAAACTAACCAAATAGGAATTATATTGAAATGAATTAATATTCAGGTTTTTCCTAAATAAAGTCTATGTAACTAAAAAAAATTAGATCTATTTTGTAATTATACTTCCATATATACATTTGTAGTGAGTTAGTTCTTTTTTTTTGAAAAAATGACGATTATTAATTTTTTGTTGAAATTAGAAAATTAAAAAACGCTCTATTATTTATTTATTAGTATTATTTATTTGATTATTAAAACCAAAAAAGGATTAATAAAATAAATTAATATTTTTAAATTAATAATTAATATTTATTTATAAAAATACCAAAAAACAAAAAAGATCTTTCTTTTATATTAAAATATGGAAGAATTTAATAATTTACAATTTAATTAAGAAAAAGAAATAAAACGAAAATAAAACGAAATTTCTGCCAAAACAAAAGAACTTTAACAATTAAACAAAAAACTCGAGGAAAAAAAGAATCTTATAAACCGAATAAGTGAAAAAAAAATAATCTCTAAAAAGAAATAACTGATATAAAGAAAAACCATGATAAACTAAAAGAAAAAGCGGAATCTAGCTAAAATAAAAACATAAATTAATTCAAATAAAATAACAAAAAAAAGTCAAAACTAATAAATATATATATATATATATATATATAATAAAATATAATTATATAAATTTATATATAAAGGAAGAAGATGACGATATAGAAGAATTCTAAGCAAAACTATAAGATAAAATAGATTTTAATATCGAAAATTATTTCAGTTAGGTCGAAAAAGCAATAAAAAATGAACTTTCTGAATAATAACAAAAGGTTTCTTTATGTTTTTAATAAGGAGATGGTTTAGATACTGCTCCATCTAAAATAAAAGCTGTTTGTATAAAAACAAAGTACCGAATTCTAAATAAATGAATATATAATAAGTAGAAAATGATGTAAAACATATATAAAAAATAAAACTTATAATTTTTATATATAAATATATTAAAAAAAAAAAAAAAAAAAAAAAAATATAATATATATATATATATATAAATTATAATAAATAAATATATATATATTTAAAAATAAAATATCACACGAATAATATATAAAGAATCCTCCAATTAACACTTTTAGAATTCTAAAAAAAACGAAGATAATTGAATTAAAATTATGCGCAATTAAATTCTGGAATATAAAATAAATAAGACAATTAGATAAATTTGAAAAAATGGACTATTACGGTTAAAATCAATATTCCTTTAATGCATATTAAGTTGGAAACGAAATGTCATATAAATAGAAATTGGATTAAAATGTGCTAATTTTACCTTCAGATTTAGTTTTAGTTGATGGAAATAGTAAATATATATATATATATATATATATATATATATATATATTTATATATATAATTATATTTATTTAAATATTTTTTATTTATAAATATATTTATATTTAATTAAAAGATGATTAGTAAGTATATGAAGATAATATGGAAATAGATTAAATTTTTTAAAGGCAAACTGAATAAAAATATGCTGTTTTAGTATTGAAATTAAAAACTGAATCTGAAAATAAAGAATTAAATTAATAAGAAATTGAAGAAAATGAAAACCCAAATGAAAAAAAAATGAAGAATTTAAAAAATAATTAGGAGATAATATATAATATAAATAAAAAAATCCACTTCTAAAATCTTATGAAAAGTTCTTTTAGTAAATTCCTTTATTAAAGGTCTATTTTTCCTTCAATATATAGGATATTTAAAATAAAAGTAAATATTTAAATGAAATAGGACTTAAAGTAGATGATTATAGTTGTTTTATTCTTGTTTTGTTTATTATTTTGGTCATATTAGTTATATTTTAGATTAATTAAGTACAAAATTTAGTCGTTTTTTACCAACATGCTTCAAATATTCTTTATTATTGTGATATTGAAAATAAAAAAACTAATACAAGTTTCGTAGATATCAATTAATTTGACGATTTAAGACAGTATTTTATTTCGTCTGAATTCGCTAAATAAATTTTCGATTAAAATTCACAAATTCGAAAAAATTATATGGTAATAGGTAAACAAAACAAAAAATAGAAATATAAAAAAAATAACGAAATTATCATTATTTTATATATATATTATTATTAAAATTTAAAACATGGAGATATAATAACTATTTAAGTTTTTTTAAAAAATTAAGATTTATAAAAAAAAAAAATATTAAAATTATATATATACATATATATATATATATATATATATATATATATATATTTATTATTATATATATTTATTATTATATATATTTATTTATATATATCTATATTACATATATTTAAAAAAGGATCTATGAGATTAAGATAATAAAGGACAAAAGAAATGACATGTCCAATCTTTCTAAGGTATCAAGAATAGTTATCTTAAAAAAACTATAATATAAAATGCTATTATCCGAAATACGATAAATCTTCAAAACAAAGAGAAAACATAAACTACGGTTTAGAATCTTATGAAAAATATCGAAATGCATTTGAAGCTAAATCTCTAGTGGAAGAAACTGTTGGAAAATTCGGTACATATGACGGGAGTGGGTACATATATGATATTTCAAATAAAATAGACGAAAGGGCATTTAATAATACCATATAAGAGATGTTTGAGAATAACATATTGAACCATAATAGTATAAGAACGATTTTTTTAACTATAAATATGATGAATATTAATGATGGTATTTTCATTTATATAAATTTAATGATAGAAAATACATAGTTTGGTCTTTTTCCTACATATTAAATTAAAGTTTTCTAAAATTACGACCAAAAATGTAGTGAAGATTTAAAGATTTTTTTTGGAACAGCTTTAACTTTATTTTATTTATTGTAAATATTAAATTTTAGTATTTATTATATATTCAGTCTCTAAGGAATATTAAATATACTAATTTAAGTCTTTCTTTATTTAGGAGTTACCTGCGGATGTAAATTAGAAGGAGCTATTTAAAGTAAAGAATTTTCAGTAAATGTTCCAGATGATTAATTTTTAGATTATGGAAATTAAGTTTAAATTTATGATAATATGATTATGTATAATAATATATATATATATTTATATATAGATATACTTTTATTATTAATTAAAATATTAAAAGGTATTTTAGCTTATGTTTTGCTACGCTTTTAATAAGAATGCTTTTCTTTTTAACTTTTTATTAAGCTTTTAGAAAAATAATATATACTATTTAACATGGTTTGATTTAACTTTTAATTGCTTTTTCTATTCTTTTTTTGATAGTTTCAGGGTTAGCTTTAGTATTTTATACTATATGGGGATAACGTATATAAATATATATATATATATATATATATATATATATATATATTATTATATATATTATTATATATATATATTTTTATATATGCTTAATATTTTTAGATTTAAAACAAGCTCAATCTTATATTTAATCCTTTTTTTCAATTTTTTTACTTATTATTGGAACTTTTGATTATTCGAAATAACATTTTGATATTTCTAATATTATTTTTTAGGCCATTATTTTATTTATGGTTAGTTTCTTTATAATTAATATTATTACTGTCATTTATATTGACGAGTTTAGATAAATATAACTATTTTATGGAAACAAAGAAAATTTAAAATTTACATTTTTATAAAAAGTTAATTGGTTTTTGTCCTTTTTACCTGATGAAGCTTTGAAATATTTAAAGATTATTAAATGAAAAATTTTATATATAATTGTAAAAAAAATACTAACTAATTTTTAAAAAAACTCATTTTTTTAATTCATGTTGTTTTTTATTTATTATCCAAAATATTTTTTTATTAATTTTTTATAAAATTGTATATTTTATATACTATATAAAAAAATATTAAAAAAATGCTATTTTATAAATTAAAAAACTCAATACAATATTATAATATAGCAATTAAATACTAAAAAAAAAAATTAAAGTATTATATAAATGCATTATAAAATTATAATAAGTGTAAAACTGTAAAATTGCATTTAAATATTTTAAATAAATTATAAATCAATCTAAAATAAATTAATTATTTATGAATATCAATATATACATTATCTTTAAATGAAAAAGTTAAATATGTAATTTGGAAAAAATATAATGATTATTATTATTTAGGGAAAAAAGAAAATTAAACTTAAAAATAAAAATAAGGATAAAAAATAAAATTAAAACTAAAAATCATTATAATAAATATATAAAATTTATATATTTTATCAATAAAAAATATAATACTAACTATATTTATAAAATAAATTAAAAATATAATAATAAATAAAATTAAAGATATATTTTAGAAAATTTATTTATTTAAAAAAGAATACATATTCATATAATAAAAACATAAATAAAGATAATAATATAATAAATTTAATGAAAAAATAATATAAATAATTAATAAAATATATAAAGAACTAAATAAAATAGAAAAAAATAATCAAAAAAAAATTATAATAATAAAAAAAATAAAAAAAATAATAATAAACTAATAAATTTGGTAAATTCTGCTACAAATTATAAAACATATTCAACAGCACTACTTATTCCGATAACTGTTACTTTTCCGTAATGATTCAAAGGTATTTAATTCTGGTTTAAATGGTTCTGGAGGTTGTAGATCTATTTACATTAATTGTTGAAGAATTGTACTATTATCTCTAGTTTTAATCAGACATTTTTTTGTTTCAATAGTCTGCTTTTATTTTCTAAAAATAATCAATTAATAATATTAATAATAATAATAATAATTATTATATTAATTATTAAATAAATAATTTAGTATTAAAATTTATATTAATATAAATAAAAATAATTTATATTTTAACAATAATTTTATAATATAAAATTAATAATAATTTTTATTTTAAATATTTAAAATTTTTTATTTTCTAAATTTAATAAAAATATTTATAATTTTCTATTAAGATAATTAATTAATAATGAATAATGTTTTTCTAAAAGATAAAATAAATTTTTATAAATTCATATATATTAAATCAAAACATTAATATCTGTTTATATAAATATGTATATTTAATGAATATTTATGAAATAAATAAATTTAAATAAAAGAATATAGCATTATAATTTATTAAGTTTTTTTAATTTTCTTATATTTTTATTTATTATAAATTTCTTTTTAAAAAGAAATAATAAAATATATAAATTTTTTTATAAATTATTTTTTATATATATTTTTTTTAAATAAATTATAACAAAATTAAAATAAAATTATAAATATAAACAAATAATATAATAATAAATATTATAAACAAATAAAATTAGCAATATTTACGATTTAGATATATATACATAATTATTTTAAACAATAAAAAAAAGAATTAAATGTAAATTAAAAATAAATTCTTTTAATTAAAAAAATGAAGTAACTTTTTTTTAATTCATAACAAAGATCAAGAAAATAAAAAATTAATTTTAAAGTCTTCAATTTCAACGAAATATTAAATTTTAATAACATGCCTAGTTTATTATATTTTAGATAAATTAAATACACCAAAAAATTTCTAAATCTTAAATTAAAATAAAAAAATTAGTAATAAAATATGTTTCTTTTTTTTTTTTTTTTGTTAATTATTTTTATACTTTTTTTTATATTTTATTTTTTGAAGGGGGTTTTTTAGAATTTTAAAAAAATTCAAAAATTAAATTTAAATAAAAATTGTTTATTTAGATAAAAAAATAAAAATAAAATTAATTTTTTTTTAAAAAAAATATTTTTATATTTTAAAGTTTAAATTTATAAATTTATCAATTTAATATAATTTTATAATTATGGAATAATTTTTAAAAGCTTTTTTATATTTTTTTTTATAAAAAAATATATTTTTTTATTTTTATTTCTTTTATAATTAAAAAAAATTTAAATTTCAAATTGAAAAAAAAAAACTAATTTAAAGTAATTATTATTATATTATTTTATAATAAGGTAATTAAAAAAAAAAAAAGACAATTAAAAAGAGGTTTTTTCATATAATAAAAAGCTTATAAAATAAATAAAACAAAAACATTTTTTAATTATAAAATTCAATTTCTTATCCATTTTAAATAATAAATAGCTTGAGTAAATATATAGTATATATTTATATAATATAAACAATAAATAATAGAAAAAAAGAAAGAAAATGCAAGAAAACATTTAAACATACGTAAGAGTAAGACCTTTATAAGACCAAGAAAGAATAATTGACATAATGGATGACAAGCAAATAATGATTCAAAGAACAACCGAAACTTTTTAATTTGGTACAATTAAATATAAAAGCGTAGAAAAAACATACTTAATTTTTATTATTAAAAAAATAAAATAAAAAAGAAAGTGTGTTTAATGAAGAAATTAATAATATCTAAATTTTCTAATAAATATGTACATAAAATATTACAAATTGTTTTGAAGGAAAAAATGGTATTTTATAAAATAAATAAAAAATAAAGTATATATATATAGTTTTAAGAAATATGTATATAATAAAATAATAATAAAATTATATGATTACATAATTATAAAATAATATAATTATATAATTATATAATTATATAATTATATAAATATTTAAATATATATATATTAAAATATTTATATATATTTATATATTTAAATTTTTTTTCTTTTAAAGTATGTATATTTTCTTATGGATAAACCTCCTCAGGAAAAACATTTACAATGAAAGGCACAAAGGAATCTCCTGGTTTGATTCCATAATCTATAGCCTTTATATTTGAAAAAATAGTTAAAATAACATAAATAAATTAATATATTTAAATATAAAAAAGAAATAAGACACTTTAAACTAAATATAAATAAAAATTTAATTTTTAGAAATATATAATGAGACAATTATAGACTTATTAAACACTCAACAATAAAACATTGATATAAGAGAAAATTACAGTAAAGGAATATTTTTATAAAATCTAAGTGAATAAATAGCCGAAACTGAAGAAAAAGCTTAAGATATATACTCGGAAGGAGAATCTAACCGAAAATTTGCCGAAACTTCATAAAATACTCAATCAAGTCGTTCCCATGTAATTTTTAGAATTAATTTTGAAATTCGAAATTCTAATAAAACCTTATATTCTGTTTTGAATTTGATAGATTTAGCCGGAAGTGAGAATATTTAAAAGAATTTTAATTAAACTATGAAAGATAATAAAATGAAAATCGAAGGTGTTAATATAAATAAGTCTTTATTAGCCTTATCTAATGTAATTAATTAATTAAGTTAAAATAAATAATAGTATATTAATTTTAGAGATTCGAAACTTACTCGAATTCTATAGCCGTGTTTAGGCGGAAACTCTAAAACTTTGATTATTTGTACTATTAATCCTAGTGCACTTAATTATTAAGAGACTAGAGATACTCTTAATTTCGGAAAAAACGCTGGAGCGATTAAAAATAACCTTTAAGTTAATTAAAAAAAAGATGAAAAAATTAATTTAAATAATAGTATTTAAATTGAAATTATTAAAGAAAATTTAATACTGAAAGAAAAAATAGATGAAATGGAAAAAACCATTAAATAAAAAGATAATTAAATGGATATTTTTTTAGAAAAAGAAAAGATTCAAAATGAAATTAACGAAAAAAACTGCGAAAAAATACTTCATTATAAAGAAGAAATTTAAGATTTAAAAAATGAAATTCAAAAATTAAAAGAAGTCAATCTAAATCTTAAAAAAGATAATGAAACGTAAAATATATATAATCAATATATATTTAAAAAAAAAAAAAAAATATATAGAATAAGAGAATTAGTATAAGGATAAAATTTCAATTAATAATAATTAATGTTAGAAATATAATAAAAAGAAGACGCTTAATAATAATTAAAATTAATGTAAATGACATTTGACGAAATGCAAAATTAAGGCTTAAAACTTACTTTTTAATTACAGGAAACATAAGAATAACTAGCAGCAAAAATACAAGAAAATTAAGTACTTATTTAATAAATATAAGAGTTTAAAAATTAAAAAAAAGAGAAAATAATTTTAGAAGAAAATAAAAATATTAATAACTAAATTCTTTAAATACAAAGGTTTTATCCAGAAGATAATGATATTTATTCTCTCAAAATTCAAAGTTATAATTTAAATAAATAACTTTAGTAAAGTAGAGAAATATAAGAATTGAATATTAAATTAAATATTTAAGAAGAATAGTTAGTAAGAGCTAATTTCAAAATAACTGAGTTACAATAATAATTAATTAATTTAAGATTAATAAAACAAGATAATAATGAAGATTTGTATTATTCATTTATATATATTTTATTAATTATAAAAAAAGAAAATCTGTTTATTCTGAAGATCTTGATAGCAATTAAGAAAATATATAAAAAAGATAAAAAAAGACGAATATGTAAAATATTTATATAAATATAAAATAATTATATATATTTATTTATATATATATATATATATTTTACAATATTTTATATTTAAATTTAATTATTATTTAATAAAATTTAGAATTATGTAAAGAAAAGAATCAACAATGAAGTTGATCATATGGCTTTAAAAAGAGAAATCGTTTCTTTATAAAAAAAAGTTAATACTATTTAATCTTTATGTGAATAATAAAAAATTAAACTTATTCAAAGTATAAATATATATTATTTTCTTAAATATAATTTAATATATATATATATAGAAATAGAATAAATTAAATACCTTAATTAAATAAGATTTAATCTTGAAAATAGATTAATTTAAAATGGAATTACAACTGAAGATATATGTTAATGATTAAAATTTATAATAAAAAAATAATATTATTTATTCTGTAATTTATAATATATATATAATTATGTTTATTTATATTTTTAATATTTTCTTCACAATAAAAATTTAAATATACTATTTTTTTAATTAAATATATTTCCTTTATATTCTATAAGTTTATATATTTTTATAAATAATTATATTTCTCTAAAATATATATAAATATGTATTTTTTACTTATTTAAATTTAAAAAATAAACAAATCTCACAAAAATTAATTAAGTCTTTAAACTAAAATCTGAAAATATTACTAAGATTTGATATAGTTAGTTTTTTCTAAATGAAATTACTCAAAATTAAAGTCCTAATTACAATCTTTAAATTATTTAATAATAATCATATCTATAATATAGCTACAAGAAATAAGAATATTATAAAAAAAATCTTAGTTTTCTATACTTTCGAATGCTAATTTTGGCTACACTGTATTTAGTATTTTATTTGCTAGTTTTTTTGATTGAAAATTGACATAATATTCTAAATGTTCTATATCGTTTTATGTTAATTCTTTTTTTTCTATTAAAAAACCTAAATTATTTTCGTTTTAAATTTCCTTTAAAGATCCATTTAATTAAACTATTCCATAAAAGTCGTCATATATAATCTTTATTTATTTATTTTTAAAAAAAAGAAGTATATAGATTTAAAGATTAATTTTATTACTTAATAAAATTCGTGTTCTTTTTTTATACTATTTCTAACAGCAATTAATCTTTAACTGTTTTTGAACAAATCATTTTTTTATCTTTCATATTCATTTACTAACTTTAATAGTTTTTAAGAAAATTTCAATACATTTAAATTTATAAAAAACACAAATTTATCATATTTGCTTTCTTTTCCACTATTTATTTTATTCTCTTTATATTTTGTAACTAAATCAACACAAACAAAATGCTTAAAATTTAAATAATTTCTAGTTTATAATAACTCATTAAAAATTTTGTCTTCATTAAAGCTTTAAATTTCATTGATTCTCATTCTAAAAAATAAATATTATATATAAATATATATACCTATATATAAATAAATATATAATATATATATATATATATATATATATTTATATATATATTTAAATATTTATGTATAAATATATATACTTTTCCCCTAATCCAAATTACCCAAAAAGTTCTTCCCAATTCAATCTATTTTCTTCTTATGTTTAAAGCATTTATTTTATCATATTTTAAGTTTTTTGGCTTACTTTTTTTACTGTATTAAATACTATTGGTTTTGTAAAAATATTTATAAGTAATTATTATTCGTTTCTACACCCCGGCCAAGGTACTTCTCCGTATAATAATTCATATAAAATGATTCCTAAAGACCACATATCACATTTAGTTCCATAAGGTTTTCTCGATAAAATTAAAGGGTCCATATACATTGGTGACCCGACACAAGAAACAAGCAATTTATCTGATTTATAATCTACATCTTTTGCAAATCCGAAATCTGCAATTTTAAAAACTCCATCATTTATTAATATATTCGCAGGTTTTAAATCTCTATGTATTATTCCGGAAGTATATAATTCTTTCATCCCTTATAAAATCTAAGTGAATATGCCTAATACTTATTCTTCAGTTAAATTATGATTATTGCTTTTCATATAAAATTTTAAATCTCCGTCTTTACAATATTCTGTTATTATATATATGCCTTCTTTTGCCTATATTATATCTTTGAATTTTACTATGTTTTTATGGTTAAATCTTTTTAATATTTCTATTTCGCTAATTAATGATTTTTTGAGGTATTTATCATTTTTAAATATATCAGAATCTATAATTTTTATTGCTATTTTTTACTTCGTATTGGTATCTATCCCTTCATATACTTTTCCGAAAGAACCTTCGCCTAAAACATGTCTTTATTTGTATTAATAATGCTTTATTTGTTTTGTTTAATCCATAGTTATGATTTTTAATTAATTAATTATTGTTTTTTATTTGTTTTAATAAAAATATCATAAAAACAAGTTTTTTTTATTTTTATTTTTAAGTATTTTATATTTTAATTTTTATTTTAAAAAAAAGTTTTTAAATTTTTTGTATTTTTTTAAAAAAAAAACACAATTTATTTATTTTTTTTAAAGAAAAAAAAAAAAAATCAATTAAAAATATATTATGGCTTTTTTTATACTATTATTAATAAAATTTTAATATAAAATCAAATTATAGTAAATTTAATATTTTTAAATATATATTTATTTATTTTAATATGAAAAAAAAAAATAAGAAATTATCTAATTTAAATTCTTTCTTTTATTTTTATAATATAATTTTAATTTTTTTAGGATTTTTAAATAATATTAATTATAAAAGAAAAAAAGACTCTAGTTTTTTTTATAAATATAATCAAAATTATTTTTTTACAAGATAAAACATTTTTAATTTTATTCAAATAATACTTTAAAAGAAAAATGTTTATTATTTAAATATCCAATGTTTTTTTAAAAGAAAATAAAATGTTTTTAATTTTTGTTTTTATAAAAATATTATAATTCTTATTAAATAATAACATTAAAGTATATTAAATATTGTTTAATAATAAAAAAAATGAATTAAAATTAAATAAGGTTAGGAAAATAAATTTATTCTTTGGATAAAGAAAATATCCTTAATAGCAATATGAAATTCTTGATATTTATAAGTAGTTTGAAATGAGATATTCTCACACCTTTTTTTTGTTTAAAATAATTAATATATATAAAATATATAAAAATTAATAAATTAAAGTATTGATTAATACTAATGGTAGTAAATAACATAAAAAATATAGATAAATATATATAATAAAAATATTATATATATATATATATATATATATACATTTTTATATTTTCATATTTATACATATATATTTATATATGTTTTTTTTTTAATTAATATAAAATTATAATCTAAAACAAGCATTTTCTATTTAATTTTTTTTCAATAAACTTACAAACTATATTGTATTTTTAATTATTCTCCATCCCAATCTTTTATATTATTTTAAGTATAGAACTCAACATTATGTTTTCCTACTATTTTTGGTGCAATTTATATAATTTTTATATCTTTTTCTTTTCCTTCTTTAATTCCTCCTTAAATAACTATTTGTTGTCCACTATAGCATCCTTAATTACACTAAAAAACAATATCATTCAAAAAAGGGTTTTATCCTATATTTTTTAAAGTATATTGAACTTAATACCCTTAATTTTACTAAACAGTAATATCATAAAGTGGAAATTTTTTAAACTAAAAAAAATAAAAGTTTTTATCATTATTACATTAATTAATTTATTTTTAATTATTTAAAGGTTATATTTAATTATATCCGAAGCTAAATTAATTTTTCAACTATGTCTAATTATTTTTAACAACGTTATTTTAATATAGCATTTTCGAATGTAAAACTATACTATTAGTTAATTCCTATTAAACACCAATTATTTTATTCTAAATAGATGTACTAGAAGGTATATTATCTGATTCTATATAATAAAAAATTAATAAATAAATAAATATATATATATATATATATATATATATATATATATATATATATTTATATATATATATATTTATATATATTTTTATTTATACTTAATGTGCTGTAATTTATATTTCTTACTGAAGCGCGTTTAAAATCATAACTTACTTATTTATGTTTTATGAAAGGATGATTATGCTGAGTTCTTAACTTTTTTTAACAGGAATCACAAAAATCAGTGCTTTAGCATATTAGGCATTCATATCGGATATTTTCAATGTTGTTTTTGCATGAATTACATATATAATTAAAAGATTGTGACTATTTATTTGGGTTCTAATATTGAAATTGTTGTATTATATTTTTTATGCTTTAGTCATTATCAATTTGAAGTTTTGGATATTTTTAATGGATTGACTTTGCTAATATATAAGTAGATATATAGTCAATTAAATCTTATTATAGAGATTCTGGTTAGTTTTTGGTATTCATTTTTTTATAATATATTATGATTTAATATATTAAAATATAAGTAATTAATTTTATTTATTTTTTAGAAAATATCTATTCTAATTTATTAAAGTTTTTTTTTAAAAAATAAATATTATAAAAATAAGTAAAGTTTGTATTTATTATATTATTTATATAGAAAATAATAAATAGGTAATTTTTTTAATTAAACACAATAAAATTAATATATTATATTAATTTTATTTAGATAATAATAAATAAATAAAATTAAATATATTTTTATTAAAAACTTAAATCATTAATAATAGTAATCATGTTAATAAATAATATATAATTTCAATAAAATGTATTTATTTATATTTATTTTATTTTTTAAAAAAAAATATATATTTAATAAATATATATTTTAATTTATTATGTTTCTTTCTTAAAAGTATTTAATATCTATAATTATTAAAAAAAAAAAAACATATATATATATATATATATATATATATATATATATAAAACATTATTATATTATAATTATATTTTTTTTTTTAAAAAAAAAAATAATAAATATTTTAAATTAATATTTTTTTAAACAAAAACAAATATTAATATAATAAGCAAATTAAAATATATATATATATATATATATATATATATATATATTTTATATATATATATATATATATATATATATTATTTCCTAAAAAAAAAAATATATATACATACATACATTACATATATATATATATATATATATATTATTTAAAAAAAAAAAAAATGGAAGTCGAATGTATTTCAGATGATTCATAAAAATTCCTTTAAAAGTTTAAAATATTAGATAATATAGGTGAAGGTACATATGGAAAAGTATATAAAGCCCAAGATATAAATACAAAAGAAATAGTTGCATTAAAAAAATACTAACACCAGTAATTAAAAAAAAATAACATTTAAAATTAATAACTCCAAAAAAACAACAAAGTTAAGAGAAGACGGTATTCCAAGTTCTGCACTAAGAGAAATATCATTACTAAAAGAAATAAATCACCCAAATGTAGTATCTTTAAAAGACATAATAATAAAAGAAAACAATTTATATTTAGCATTCGAATATGCCGAAAATGACCTTAAAAAATTTATAGATACAAAAACTTCAAACGAATACATAGATCCATTAACAATAAAAGTTTTTTTTTTTATTTAAACAAATAAAATTAAATAATACAAAAAAATATATATAGAAAATAATCTATTAAATATTAAGAGGAGTAGCCGCTTGTCACACTAGACGAATAATGCATAGAGATTTAAAGCCTTAAAATATATTAATAGATAAAAATGGAACTGTAAAAATAGCTGACTTTGGACTTTCGAGGACATTTTCAATGCCCATAAGGCCTTATACACATAATGTAATAACTTTATGGTATAGACCTCCTGAAATTTTATTAGGGGCACTCGAATATTCAACACCTGTAGATGTTTGGTCTGTAGGTTGTATTTTATTTGAATTAATTACTAAAATACCTTTGTTTTAAGGACAATGTGAAATCGAATAGATTTTTAAGATATTCTAGTAATTATTTATTTTAAATATAAAAAAGGCAATTTATACATAAATATATATAGTTATATATTTATAAATATATATATATATATTTATATATTTATTTATTTATATATTTATAAGGGTTTTAGGTACACCAAGTGAAAATGAGTGGCCGGGAATTAGTGAATTAAAAGATTATAAGAGTACTTTTCCAAGATTTAAATAATAAAAATTAGGAGATATTATTATGGAAACTATGAAAAAATACGATTTTTCATATGAAGTAGATATTGCAATAGTTGATCTTTTAAATAGAATGTTAATATATGATCCTTCTAAAAGAATTACTGCTAAATCTTGTCTTAATCATGTATTTATATATATATTTATATATATATATATATATATATTTATACTATTTTTTAATAAAAACATAGCCTTATTTTAATGATATTGTTAATTATTTTAAAAATAAATGAAAATAATAATAAAAATATATATATATATATATATATATATATATAATTATCAGTAAATTAACACCTAAATATATATATATATATATATTTTTTGAATAATATCATAATTTATTTAGTTATTTAAAATAATATATATATATATATATTATCTAGACAAAAAAAAAAAATAAAAAACAAAAATGTCCTCTAATTGGTTAGAATAAACAAGATTATGCTACGAATCTATCGAATTACTTGACAAAGTAATAATTGATCTTCTTTTCGAAAAACTAGATAATCCAAAAGACCAAGTAATAATTGACAATAAAGTCCGTAATATAATTGAAATGAAATAAAGTAAATGTCTAGACCTTTTAATCCTAATAAACGATACAGATGGTGCCAAAAACGAGGAAATGTAAATCCTATCTGGCCAAAAAAGCCTAACAGCAGGTTCTAGGTAACCTGATGTATGGTTTAATTTCTAATAGAGGTTAAAAGATATAAAAGAATTCCATAAAAAATACCAAAATTCCACTATATAATAAATAGATAAAGAATTTTATTTAAAAAATGTATTTGCACCCCCATATAGTGAGCCTAAATTTACGGCTGATGAAGGAAATGGAAAATATGTAGATATGAACGTACTTTATTAAGAGTTTTTGAACTTCGATTTAAAAAAAAGAATGTGGCTTTAAACGAAGAATATCATATAGGAGATTATGCTTGGTATTTAGAAAAATTTGATTAATTTCATGAAATTCCTTTAACACTGAAAATTAAAAAATATTCCAAATATAAAGAATATCTAAAAAATTTAATAAATTATTTAAAAGATTTCTTCCTAAAAGTATAACCTTTAACAGATTTCTAGATTATAGAAAAATAAATTGAATAAGATTTTGAATATAGATGGAAAGAAGGAACAGTAAATGGTTGGGAAAAAACAGATTTTGAAGAAAAAAACTAAGACGAAAGATTATTTTGTTAGGCTTGTTAGAGATTGTTTAAAAATGAAAGTATATTTGTACATCATTTAGAAGGAAAAAAACATAAGAAAAACGCAAAAATAAATGAAAAATATGATTAAAAAATAAATAATAATAATAATAATAATAATAATAATAATAATAATAATAATAATAACAATTACAACTATAATAATAACGAAGATGATTCTAAAAAAGAAACTCTCGCTAAATTAGAAAGCTTTTCAATAGGTTTAAAGTAACAATTATCTGAAATTATCTAAGAAACAATAAATCAAGTTAAAAAGAGATAAACAAGAACCTATTAAGAAATCGAAGCCGAAAATACAATGGAAAAAGTAAACAATGTATAATCCGAATCCGAAGATGATGAAATGCCTTATAATCCTAAAAATGTACCATTAGGTCCTGATGGTAAACCTATACCTTATTGGCTTTATAAATTACATGGTTTAGGAATCGAATATAAGTGTGAAATTTGTGGAAACTTCAGTTATTGGGGTAGAAGGGCTTTCGAAAAACACTTCAATGAATGGAGACATTCATATGGTATGAAGTGTTTAAAAATACCTAATACTGTACATTTTAAAGAAATTACATCTACTAAAGATGCTCTTGCATTGCATCATAAACTTAGTATGGAGAGTGAGTATGCGTAGTTTAATATAGAAACGGAAGAGGAGTTCGAAGATTCGGAAGGGAATATTCTTAATAAAAAAACTTATAATGATCTTAAGAAATAAGGATTATTGTGAGATTTTTTTATTTTTTTTTTATTTAAATAAATATTTATTTTTAATATATATTTTTTTATTTTTTTTTTTATAAAAATAAAAATAAATATAAAATTATTTTTAGTTTTTTATTTTTAAATTATTAAAAAAGATAATTTAAAGTGATAATCTTTATGATTTTTTTAAAAATATATGTATTTAAATTATTATTATTATTATTTTTAAAATTTTCTTTTATATATTTAATTCATATTAATAGTCAAAAGACTGCCATACTAGTAAAGTAGTTAGGTTATTTTTTTAGTCAATTAAATACTTATTTTCTATAATTAACTAGATCTAAGTAAAATTAATAACTCAAACAAAAACTAAAGAATAAAATTATAATTATAAATGATATTTTTATATATATAATATCAAAAATAAATAAATATTAAAAACGAAACTATTAATTATATTATTTTATTTAATTTTATTAATAATTCTTATAAATATTTTAATTAATTAGAAGCGTTTTAATTTGTTCGTTTTTTAAAATAAATCTATGCCGTTTTTAACTTAATATGAGAAATAATATAAAAATTAATAAAGGAATTTTTTCTCAAAAAAAATAAAAAATAAAAAAATAATATATATATATATATATATATATATATATATTTAAAAAACAAAAAAAAAACAATAAAAACAATAAATTTCAATATATATTTGACCCTATCCCAAAAAATAAATAATAAAATGAACAATCTATATATTATTTTAGTCTTAACATTATTTATATCATAAATTAAATCAAATGAAACCGAATTAATTGAAGGTATTAAATTAATCTAAATGAAAACAGCCTATGTAATAGACGACATTTTATAATTCCTTAAATCTATGGAAATATAAGTATAAAATGAAATTTAACACACAGACGAAGAAATAGTCCGTAAAACAAATGAATACACACAAGAAATTTCCATATTAGAAAAAGAAGATTAAGAAAAAAAAGTCAAATGTTTAGAGTACTAAAATGATTTAAAAGAAGTAGAAGAATAATATAATAAACTATAAGAATATATTCTTTGGTTAGAACAAAAAATTAGCAATAATAACTTAAAAATAGAAGATTATCATAATGAAAGATGTGAAGCTCATCAAATGTGGATTGAATTTTTAAGAACATCTCAAAATATGGTTAATTTCCTTGAGTTTTTGAAAGAAGCAGTTTCTAATTATTCTTTTATTTAAATTAGTAAAATAAACGCAGTATTAGCAAGATATAAAAACGACGATAATGAATTTGGAATTCCTACAAGTGAAAAATTAACAGTTATGCTATTAGAATTATAATAACTAAATTTAAAAGAAGATTCTGAAAAATATTCGGATGTAGCCTAGTCATTAAATAAAGAACGTTTGAGAACAGGTAAGAATTACATATTAGAAATAAAAATATATATAAATATATTTTTATATAATATTATATATATATATATATTTATTTTAATATTTTATAATATATTCATATATTTATATTAGATGAGGAAATCGGTGTCGGACATATAGATAATGATAAAGATTATATTGATTTAGAGAAATTTTAAGGAGAAGACAGAAGAAATGTTAAATATTACAAAGAATAACTTATTGAATTAATTGAAAAAATGGAACATAATATAAAAAAATAAATCTAAACAAGAATAGACGAAGAAATAAAACTTAATGACGATATTGCTGAATTCATTATTATCCTCGAAAAGGAACTTAGGACATTAAACAAAGAACTTTAAGAACAAAAAGAAGTCAATGAAAATATAAAAAGTATTATTTCCAATTTAAAGTCTTTACTTGAAGAATGTGATAGCCATACTAGTTCATATACTGTAAAAATTTATGAAATAAAGAAACAACTCGAATATTATATTAGCTCTAAAAATACTTATAAGCAAAGTTTAGTAGTTGAATATGGTGAGATCAAAGAAATAACTAAACTTTATGAATAAAATATTGCATAAACTGGTATTTAATATAAAGCCCATTATGATGATATTATTAACACTAATTATGCTAATCCTAATGCTTAGCTTTATGATAGATAATTACTTAATTAATATGATTCTTATAGAAATCCAGAAGATTTAGAATAAAAAGTATAAGGTGTTATAAATGTTTAATAACCTTGATTTCTTAAAAAAAAAAAAAAAAAAAAAATTATTTTATTATTTTTTTTCTAAATATATTTTTATTTTATTTTATTTTATTTAATTTTTTTTTTTTTTTTTCTTTTTTCTTATTAATATTCAATTTACGGTATTAGTATTTTTTTTCCATATATATATATATAAATATATATTTTTTTTTTTATTTTTTTTATAATAATTTAATTTACAGTATTAATAAATAATATATAAAAAAAAAGACATAAAATTAAATAAACTATATTTTTTTAATTTTTTTTTCTTATTAAAAATATATTGTTTCCTTTTTAAGTATTTTTTATTTATAATAATAAATTTATCTTCCTTCTCTCTCTTTTAAAAAAACAAAAAAAACAAAAAAAAATTCAAAAAAACTCAAAATAATCCAAAAAACCCTAAAAACAAAAAAAAACAAATAAAAACAAAAAAACAAAAAATACATATGTCAGATCCATACACTTAATAATATAAAGAATTAGAAGTAATTGGCAGAGGAAGTTTTGGTAATAAAGAAAAAAAAAAACTAAAATATACAAAAAATAGGATGTGCTATTTTAGTATAAGAAATATCAACAGGATAAATGTATATAGCCAAAAAATGCGCTTTATAAGGTTTAAAATAAAAAGAATAGGAATCTGCAAAACAAGAAGTAAACTACAAAAAATTATCAAAGAATATAATATATATAAATAAACAATTTAGGCCGAATTACTAAAAAGCTTAAAACATCCTAATATTGTCGCATATAAAGATTCCTTTATAATAAATAACAATTTGATAATATTGATGGAATATTGTGAAGGTATAAATAACTAAATAAATATATAAATATAAATATAAATAAATATAAATATATATATATATATATATATTTATATATAAATATATTTATATATATTTTTATTCTTTTTTTATTTATATAGAGGGTGATTTAGCGTATCATATAAAACGAAAATCAAAAAAACAAGAATTATTTGCAGAAAAAGTCATATTAAATTGGTTCATATAAATAGGACTAGCATTAATATATATCCATGATCGAAAAATACTCCATAGGGATTTAAAAACATCCAATATATTCCTTAACTCAAACGGAACAGTAAAAATAGGAGATTTTGGTATTTCTAAAGTACTTGAAAACACCTAAGATTAAGCATCAACAGTAGTAGGAACTCCGTAAAATCCTATCTAAAAAAACTCTAAAAAAATAATTAAAAAAAAAGGTATTATATGAGTCCAGAAGTATGCGAAAGTAAGCCATATAGTCAAAAATCAGATGTATGGGCCTTAGGGTGTATTTTATATGAATTATGTACATTAAAACATGCATTTAATTCAAATAATTTATTAGGATTAGTATATAAAATTGTAAAGGAATAAGTTGACGATATTCCTTCTTTGTATTCAAAAAATATTTAAATATTGACTAAGTAATGAAAAAATAAATTTATATAAATTAATAGATTAAAATAAAATATAAATATAAATATAAATATAAATATATATATATTTATATTTATTATTTAAATTTAAATTTTTATATATTAATAATATACATATATTTATATTTATATATCATTATATATATGTGAAGGATTATGTTAATAAAAGATGACAACGAAAGACCTATTATAAGAGAATTATTCGCTTAGCCTTTTTTAATAAAAAGCGTATAAGAATTTATAGAATCGGAAGGAAAAAATGTAGAATAGTCAGCAATTCCAGTTCGTAAAACAAAAACTCATAAGAAAAAAAAAGAAAGTGATGATGAAGATCAAGAATAAGATGTTACATAGAAAGAAAAAAAGTTATAATTTGATATAGGAGACACCATTTAATCTAATAATGAAACAAAAATTAATTAAGAATTCACAATAGGGAACACTATTTAATCAAATAATAGTAATTTTACAATTGGAAATACTATATAATCAAATAATGGAAATAATATCACTATTGGAAATACAGTAAATTCTATAGGAAATGTCACATAATAAAAGAATTTAACAACAAAAGAAAAACTAATGCTAAAAAAATAAATGGAAAGCGATTTAAAGGCATAATAATTAAAAATGGCAGTAAGAGAAAATGCTAATTAAATAAATTTAGCAAAATAAAGGAAATAATAAGAATTAAATCATCATATAACAAATAATAATAATCGTAGTGTTTAATAAACTAATTTATATATTACTTAAATAAATAAATAAGATTAAAATTATTAGTTGTAAAAACACCAATAGAGTTAGTTGTATCAAACTACTACTGGAAATTTCTATAGTAATAACAATAATGTAAACAGTAATAATTTTTATTAAACAGGAATAAATTATAACAAATAATAATAAAATAATATTAATAATAATAATAATAATAATAATAATAATAATAATAATAATAATAATAATAATTACGATAGTGTAGGTTACTTAGGAAATTAATTTTCTAATATGTATCTTACTTAAAATGAATCAAATTAATATAATCCTTCTCACTTTGAAATTAGTTAATAAGTAATATAATTTTACTTTTTTTTAAATACATTTTTTTACATATTTATTTTTTTATAATTTTTTTCTTATGTTTATATTTTAAGTAATAAAATTATTATTAAATGATTTCCGAATAAAAATAAAAATAATAATAAGAATAATAATTAAAATCATAAAAAATACCATAATAATAATAATATTATAAAAATCCTTATGATGAAAGACCACTAAATGTAAATAATACAATTAACAATAAAAATTATGAGAGCGAAATGGATGAATATAATGATGATTATGAAGAATATATTAGTGATGAAGATATAGACAATAAAACAAAAACATTTTCTTTGACAAAAACTGCACATAGATTAACTTAAAAAGCTTCAGATGCAGATTTAATAGATGTTATTTCCTAATATAAAAATATACTTAATAATAATGTAATACCATAAAAAGAATAACACAAGGATAATAATCTAGATAGTATATATATAAAAATAATATTTATTTTATCTATTATTAAAAAATAATAGTAATTGCTGAATAATCAGGAGAATATGTGCCTATGACTCCATTATCAAAAAATAATGTTGATACGAAAATAGAAAGTTTAAAAAAAAAAGTTATAGATGCTATGGGATAAGACATGTATGAAAAAGCTTATAAATATTTAAAGTAAAATAGAGAAATAGGGACTAATGATTCTGAAGTATAAATAAATATAATATATATATAAATATATATATATATATATATATATATATATATATATATATATATATTTTTTATTAAAAATTATATAATTAGATATAAGTCCAATTAATAAATATTTTGGGAAAAAAGAACTATAATAAATGCTTTGAAATCGATTAAATTATTTTTATGGAGACCTAAAAAAAATGAATTATATTTAAAAAATTCACTTTTTAGTGTTTTTTTTTTAAATAAAATAAAATTAAATATAGTTTTGATAATATATATATATATATATTCTTTTTATAACTAAGAAAATATCCCTTTTTTTCATTTTTTTTATATTTATTAATTATCAGATTACATTATATTAGGAATTTCTTCATTATTCGTTTCTTATATGTAAAATTTATTTTTTACTTCCATTTTTTATTATTAGTTACATGTATAAATTTTATATACAATAAAGATTAAAATAGCCACAAAAATTAAAATTAAAAACGAATAAAAAACTAAAAAAATATGTTTTTTTTTTTTTTATTTATTATTAACAAAAAAAAAATTACTTTTATTTTTTTATTAATCTATATTTATAATTTCATTTTATTTTTATTCCTATTATTTTAAAATATTTAATTTTTCTTAAAATTTTTAAACTTGTTTAATAAACTAAATATCTTATACTGTCTTTTTAATTTAAATACTATTTAAGTTCATTAAATTACTCGAAATTTTCTCTTAACTGCAATTAGATTCTGTAAAATGTAATTTTTTATTTTATCTATCAAATAAAATATCATAATTTTTCATAAAAGGGCCTCCTAAATATGTCTTATCCTCAGAAACCCCATAAAAGGCAAATTAATAAAGATTTCTATTTTTTTCATCAGGATGAACAAATAAATATGACTCACCTCCAAGTTTAATTTTAACATTATTTTCAAATTCAAATTCAAAAAAAGGAAAACTATTAAAAAAATCTATTAACCGAGGATAATACTAAAAATCGTATAAAAACTTAGTTTAATAATTATCATTACTATATTTACCACCACATTTTTAGCAATTTTCATTTATATGTTTTACAAGTGCTCTTTAAAAAAAAAGACAATATATATTTCATAAAAACTATTAGAATAAATATAAAAAAATATATATGTATTACTAAACAACTTTTGAAGAACTATAAATAATAGTAGTACCGGAATCTACAATAGCTTTTGGGATTTTTTCAATAATTTTGATTCCATTCATCTTTATATATATATATATATCTATATATAAATATATATATATATATATATATATATATATATATACATATATATAATAAAAAAAACATACTTATATACTCAAAACATCTACTGTATATTATTTTTAACTATCTTTGTAAGAAATAACTTAGGTTTTAGCATTTTACTTATGTAATTCGTAGTTATATCCTCCAATACTCATGTAGCCTCCTTCTCTTTAATTTAAGCAAAGTGAAAACGCTAAAATTTCTTAATTTTTTGAATGTTATTAAAATATATTTTCCACTAAATTCGGCGGAATTTATAAATTATTCGTATCTGGTCCTAAACCTAGAATTCCGTTCGGTTCTTATAATTAAAATGCTTAACTTTCAACATCAGTGCATCCGAAAACGGTCTTAACTCCTTCATGTTTAATATATTATATATAATTTTCATTATTGTAATCATATTTTTCCATTTAATCTCCCAAAACTACAATGTCTTCGGCCAAAAAGCCATTAAGCTCCGAACCATCTGCAAAACCACTTTCCCATTAGCATTTTTTATCACCTTATTTTAAATTACATTTACATTTAAAATTCATTTATTAATTCCCATTACAAGTCAAAAAGGAAAAAGTAAGAGAATTTTCAAAATTAAAATTTGGATTTTCATGCTTCTATGAACAACTCTTACATCCTTTACATGGAAAAGATAATCTATTACTCCCTGTATCTACTATTACGGATTATTTTTAAGGGGGAACACCAACATATATATCAGCCCAATATATAAGCTTTTCGGTGCTGCCTTTTAACTTTATTGTATGAATTCGCTCATAATAATACTCAGTGAAATTATAAACTTGTTTTATATTTCCAGATTCGTCTAAATATTAGAATTCGGTATTTTATTCGAAAGTTTTATTTATTATAGTTAATATTATTAGTAAATTAAATATGGATATTTTCATTTATTGGTATAAATATTTTGATGAAAAAAGTATATTTTTTAATTTATATAATAAAAAATATAAACTATAAAAATTTATTTTAAAATCTTAAAAGAAATAGTAAAATAGATATATATTATTATTAAATATAAATATGAATTAAATATATTGATTTTATATATAAATATATAATGGTTTTATTAAATTAAATATAAAAATCAAAAATAAAAAAAAATTAATATTAATTATATATATTAATATTTAAATATTATATATATTTAAATAATTAATTTATATTTTTTGTAATAATAAAATAAAAAAAAAAAATTAAATATATAAACTTTATAAAAATATAATCATTTTCAATTTTTATTAAAAATAAAGAAAATATAATTAATTAGAAAATAATTAAAAATTAATATAATATATTTAAATTTTTTAGAAAAAATAAATATATAAAATATTTAAATTACTAAGAATACAAAATATAGATATATATAATCATCAATAAATATTATTAAATTTGTTTATTAAAGAAAATCATAATTAAGTAAATATATATATTATAAATATATATATATATATATATATATATATATATATATATTTTATATACAATATTTTCAATCTTTCTTAATTATTTTTTATTAATTTTATTTTTTGTTTATTTTAAATAAAAAAAAATAATAATTAAAGTAAATAGGTAAAAATTTTAAAAAAACTTTGATATTACCAAATTAGAAGATACACATAAAAATATAGAAACATAAATAAAAATATTTATCAAGTGTATGAAATTTATTTTAATTATTCATAATAGAATATTTCATTTTATTTTATTTATTTATTTAGATTTTTTTTTTATTTTTATATATTTTCCAATAACATAAAAAAGCCTCGTCCTAAATATAAAAAAAAAGGAATATAAAAAAAATACAAGAAATAGTTTCCAAAAATAATATATGAAATTCATTTAAAGAATATTTTATTTTTTTTAAGCTTTTTAAAGAAATTCATTTATAAATATTAATAATAATTAATGTTATAAGTGTCTATAATATAAATTTAATTTATTTGAAGTTTTGTATATACTCCAAAAGAAAAAATGAAAAGTTATTATTTTTTTTATTATTATTTAAATAAAAAAAAATATAAATATATAGAGATATATAAATATAATAAAGAATAATATAAAGAAAAAAATAAAGGGAAAAATAAATAAATATTAAAATATTAATAAAGTAAATAAAAAAATAAGAATCTTAATATAAATTATATATATATATATATATATAATCTTATTATTTAATGCAAATAATAAAAAAAAAAAAATAGAGGAAAAAAATAAAATAAATAAATAAATAAATAGCAATATAAAAAACAAGTAAAAAAAAAAAAATCCTCTTTTTTTTTTTTTATTAAAAAAAAATAAAAAAAAAAATAAAAAAAAAATAAAAAAAAATGAATTCATCTTTACTCTCTAGTCCAACTTAAATTCCTTAATTTTAAATTTTAAAATCCCATTCAAAATATGCCTAAGAAATTCAAAAAAATACTTAAAATATAATAATATATTCTGATTTTCATAAAATAATTTCCATATATAATAATAATTAATAAGTATTAAAAGAAGTCCTAATAAATAAATCCGAATAAAAAACTCCAGAAGATATAGAAAATTAAAAATAACTCCTATAATTATTAACAAATGAATATAAAATAACTCGAAAACTAAAACATTAATACATATTAAAACCCTCAAAATTCCACTAACATCCTTAAGGGGCTATCCTAATTATGCCATATGCCAATGGAAAAGATTGTTGGAATTTTTTTATAAATTAAAACCAGAATTTATACCAAAACATATATCGAATGTACCAAAAAGGGGAATATATACCCCCTTAATAAATCCAGATAGTGTAAACCAACCTCCAAAATATAAAACAAATGATAATATAGATATCACAAGCATTACTATATCTACACAGCGAGAAAAATACGGCCCATAATGACATAAAACCTGACAATATTTTATTATTTAAAGATGAAAATGTATTTAAACTATCTGATTTCGGATATTCCAAAGCTATAGGTTTTTAAAACAAAGAAAAAATGTTTTCTTTTTTTTATAAAAAAAACCAACATATTTTGCGCCAGAAATATTCAGCTTTTTAGGAAATGAAAATATAGAAATTTGTGAAAAACAAACCGATGTTTTTGCTTTTGGAGTGTCTATTTTTCAAATGATTTTTCATTTAAACCCTTTCTATATGCACGGGTGTTATTAGAATGATTAATTTTATAAATTATTGTAAGAAAAGCCAGATGTTTTCTGGAATTAAATAAGCTTTATACTCTATTTATATAATTCTTTCACTAATATTTCTCTTCTTAAAAATCTTATAGAAGGAATGCTTTAATAAAATACTAATAAAAGATTTACTATTAAATAAATACTTGTACATCCTTGGTTAATATAATAATAATAATATAAAAATACTAAAAATGAATGAATATATTATACTAATTATTAATTTTTTTTTTTTTTTTTTTTTTTTTTTTTTTTTTTTTTTTTTTTTTTTTTTTTTTTTTTGGGGGGAAAAAAAAAAAATTTTTTTTAAAAAAAATTTTTTTTTTTTTTTCCAAAAAAAAAAAAAAAAAAAAAAAAATTTTTTTTTTTCCCTTTTTTTTTTTAAAAAAAAAAAAAAAAAAAAA